GGCCAGCGCGGGTGACCTGTGACGTGCTGGGCTGGCCCACGGCCGCGCCAGGGCAAGGCTGGGCAAGGTGGGCTTGCTGGGGGTATCAGGAAAAGCTACCTTGAGACCAACAGTCAATGATGGGACAATTTTACTTCTACTAGTCACCCACTTTGCTGCAGGTGGCCAGATGGGGGCAAGTCTACACGAACAACTCGTGGCCTCCATTCGCAAGAGGATGAAGGTAAAAGATGGGAGTCTGCAGGCCAGGGGATGTGAGGCTCTGCAGAGCTTTCCCCTACCCAAAGTCCCCTTCAGATAGAGGAGGTGGGAACCCGGCTGTTCCTGCACTGCCTCTTGTAGCCCTCAGTGATCTCATTGCAGTTCTTGCCTGCTGACTTAGCTGCTGGACCCAACAGTCCTCGTGCAACTGGTAATAGCACTTACTGTGGCAACTGCACTTGGAACAGGCAAGTTTCCTTGCCATGTTGCAAGCTGCTCCATTGCTTGCCCTATCGTGCATGCTGCACTACTGACTTCTACATGGCTGCAATCGCCTACCCGTGCTCCTGCAGGGTTTTTGGTGCTACCAAATTCATGCATATTTAAGTAATTATTTCAAACACATGTAGGTAATTTTCTTTTCCCTATGTCTTTTTATTCTTTTTATTTTAACTCTTAAACAGAACTCCTTCTCCAAACCTTTTTCATTTCCACCATCAATTATTGCCCCCCAGATTATAAACAGTTTATACTTGAGTGCTATAGCATTAAAGAGTCAGCTGCTAAAAGGAAGGGCTTTGGGTTTTCATGTGGGGTACAGCTATGGGGTGTCTTTGTGTTCTGAGAAACAAGAAAAAATATCTTCTCACAGTTGGAAGATGAGACCAATACTTGTTTAACTTGGGCTATATATACTCAAGTCAGGATTTCGCAATGGGTTTTGCATTTACTTGAGATCACAGCTAAAGGTGCCTAGAAAATCTTCCAGTAGCACATCCTACTGCTCAGCACCAGCCTTGGGGAAGAGCTGCAGCACCTCCAAAGCCAGCTACGCGTGTTTTGCTGGAACTATTGTTCTTGGAAAATGCAAGTTACTGCATATGTATCTGCATATACATGCATATATACATATGATATGTTATTATGTGTTCTACTAAAAATCTACTATCTCAGGTGGGAATGATTGCTCCTACATGGAATGGAATTTAGAGAAGATGGATAAGGGAATTAGCCTGGACTAGCTGATGCTGGTGATGACTGACACTGACCTGCAGTGTGGGAGAGGAATTTCAACTTTCCGCACTGAATCAAGGAAAGTGAGGGCTCATTCTGGCTGTTCACCACTCTAAGCAAGTGTTGTACCTGGTTGAGTAGTTGCTTGTCTGGAGATAATCTAATTTTTCTCACACATCCTAGAAAGGCCCTGTTTTATCTCAGTGCAGGATATGAAAAACTCAGAAACCCTCAAGATTTTTTTATGCGGTAGGAAAGCCATTTGCGATCTGCTTCCCTGGCTACC